AAAATTGAGTGAAATCAAAGTGCATTCGTAGTTGCGTTGTGGGGTGTATCAACATTGGTGTTATGGATATATATATATATATATATATATATATATATATACAATATAATGGGGAAAAGAGGGAGGGGTGGCAGGATCAGCTGACTGAATCTGATGTTTTATTTCTTAGTGGGCGCAATTGATTTGAACCGTATTGTTGCAGTTATTTTGTGAGGGGTTTTGTCTGGGGTTTGTTTTTTTGTTTTTGGTTGTTGTTGTTGTTGTTTTGTTTTGTTTAAACAATTCCATTTGTATTGTCCTTGGGCGTAGTATTAATTTAATTATTGCAACAGCAGTGGAGTGAGCATTGTTTGCCATTAGACTGGATGAGCACCCACAACGATCCCGTATCACGTGCCCTGCTCATTGTTTCATTATGGTGGTGAGTTTTATTACACCAACATGGTGGAATAATAATTAATACGAATAGGATCATTGGGTGCTAGCACAATAAAGAAAGATTGCATATGACGATTAACCCGTATGAAAGCGGCCAAAATTGAATATCGGAAGGCAGAGAGAAAATATCTAAGAAATTACCTAGAAAACAATTTTAGAAACCTGTGATAATTTTTATGTCTATAGTAGGATGATTCTCGATTAGTTTCAACCTGTACCTGAAGAATACATTAGATGAAACATTAATTCTAAAATCCCCTCGCTTGTTTTGAGATCTCGAACATGCCCACTTCTGTCTTGTCTCTTTGCATTAGCAAACTGATCACGTGTATTACCAAACTCATAAATGATTCTCTGGTGTATGGATCAGTACCATATTCGTTTAGAATTAAAAATAGATTTTTAAAAAAAATGCAATTTCCACATTACCAATGTCCATGAGCTCGTTCTCAACCCCCAAAATAAGCTTTGTACTGCTTTATCTGTAAAATAATGAACAAACTAATTGAGTAGCTCTAAATCGCTAAAAAAAATTAATCGGGAAGCGAGTCTCTTTGATATTTCCTAGGTCCCCAGTGCAAGTTGCGCACGTTAAAGATCCAATGGGGGTCTAAAATCGATAAGAGTAGGCTTCGGCCGCCACCCGGACAAAATTCAAAATTTCCTACCAACTGAAAATGTTTAATGAAATGTGTCCAGCTCTCTCATATGACCTTATGCAGTTGTGAGCAAAAAATAATTATTATAGATTAGGTTGTTTTTTTTCAAGACTTAGTTATTGTAACTCAAGAATATCTGTTGGGGGCAAGGAAAAGACTTCAAAATGTTCAAAACAACGCTGCACGTTTAATTTTACAGAAAAGGGGAGACTTCTGCTATACCTCTTTTACATACTCTGCACTGTCTTCCTGTTGGATGTTTGAATGATAATGCGTGATCATATTTATCAAATCTGTTGAAACTGCATTCCAACTGTTATCCATTCAAATGTCTGCTTATGTCTCTTCTGTGTTTAGATTATTTTTGAAGCTTAAAGCAATGGTAAAAGGACATTCGTATATTATCACGGCCCCAAGATCTGGAATGATTAGCCCAGTAGTTTAAGAGAACTTAAATCTTGTTATTCATTCAAATGTTAGCTTATGTCTCTTCTGTGTTTAGATTAAAAAGAGAAAGACTCATAAAATATAATGATAAAGATAAAGTTTAGTCAGAACAGAGTGTACTGTATATGTATTGCCGCTATGTTTGTAAAGCCCTCAGAGCCTCTGTTCTTTAGTTAGGGTTGAGCACTATATAAATTTCATATTATATAGTTATCATTAGTTATTTTTTCTTTGACATAGTATAAATGAAAAAACTTACTTGTTTCCATCTCATATAAGGCATCATTATCTTCAAAATGTCGATGTTATCACCACAGCAGGAGGTATCAATGGTTACAGGCTTGGCTCCTTTAGTCTGCTCCAACTCTTCCAGGCTGGGAGGACTTCCATTTGACACATCCATTTCCTCAGACATTTTCCACCACAAAGGCTCCTAGGATGTAGAAAGTACAATAGGAGATTACGTAACATCTCGAAAAACAATGTGAAAGAAGTGAAGAGTTCTGTTCCGAAAGCAATTACAAAGAAGCATCGAAAAGAAACATGAAAATGTATTTACCCAACTATCGTGATGAAGCTATACACCCATGCAACATACCAATTTAAAGATAAACACATTCTGTACCTTCTGAGACATCAATATTTTACATACAATTAGAGTAGCCTGAGATATGGCCACTCAAAATAAACTTTAAAAATCAAACTAGGCAAAATTGAGTGAAATCAAAGTGCATTCGTAGTTGCGTTGTGGGGTGTATCAACATTGGTGTTATGGATATATATATATATATATGTATGTATATATATATATATATAAATATAAATTGACAAAATGATTGGAAAATATTAATGTTACTGCAATGAAATGAACAGTGTCTTATTACGACAGTGACAAATAGTTTGAAAAACGGAGAGGTCACAAGTACCACACAAAACCTGAACATGGCATTAAATGTGCTGATTAGTACTTTGTATAGAAGCCATTCGTTTCGAGTCGAGCACGAACCCTTTTTGAAAATAGACTGAGTTAGTTAGACTTTGGATATAATCAGCTGTCAGTGAGGAACAGAAGTCACTAAACTTCCATGGTTTGAGGTGGTCTGGCTGGAATGAACAAAACCCCACTAGTGAGAATCAACGGAAGGCTTCGTTAAGAACCTTACGTCTAACTCTGTACTCTTACTTTTATTTCGTAAGAATTCAATCAAGTAGGCATCTTTATGCAGGACGCAGCACCGTTTCACAGAGCCAATGTCACTAGGCAGCTTTTGAAAAACCAACGATCGCGTGGTGACCAGTAAACAACCCCAATAATAATAATATTTTGAATGCTACAATTGTGTGGAATTAGAAGAAACACAATTTTGCTCCAATTTAGACGTTTTGTTTGCAATTCTCAGTAAACTTTGGGATAAAATGATTGTAATAATTATTTCCAAAATTTGGCGCAGCCAATGCCCAAAGGGTTCGTGCTCCACACTAAACCAATTGTTCATGAACAAGATGCGGTCAAACATTTTGTGGCGCAACTTATTGTCAAATATGTCCTTAACTATTAAACTTAGGTTCTCCAGCTTTTGCGCAAAAGACCTGTATCAATTTGATTAAACAGGTCAATATTCTTTCAAATACCTGTTAGCAGTATTCTAGAAAATTCCTAAATAAATACTAATTAAAAATTCCAAGTGAGCGTTTTCTACAGATTTTAAAATGCTTACAACTTGGACAATATCGCTTTTAAAAGCAAGTCCATCATTTTTTCCTTATTGAATGCTTGTTCTGAGAACCTTTAGTGCAAAAAACGGAGTTCATTATAAAATAGTTTCTTGTCACTGAAAGGCGTCATTGGTGAGTTGAGACGAAGGCCATGCGCGTAGGCAAAATGCGTGTGAGAAGCGGGAAATGCTGTTAACAATCTCATTTCCGTGTGACGGAGATTTAGAGTATTTTATATAAATTTACGAAGAATAATTTTTAGTACAGCCTTTATTGCCATGGAAAAACATTATCAAGTTAAGACAAATTGATACAAACTTCTGGGCAAAGTATGGATGGCATTGATTCACTCTTTAAAGAGACATTTGGAATAAGTTGCGCCACGAGTTTTTGACTGCACTAATGAGTGCGTTTAAAGTTATGTCCAAGTTTCGCCTGGAAATTGAAACTGCTCTTTTTTTTCAATCTGTTTGAAGCTATAACATTAAAATTATTTATTGCAGAGACAAAAATATCCTTTCATTTATTAGTAGCCAGTATTTGTCCATTCCACGAATGTTAAGGAATCTCAATACACGCTCAAGTGTACTTTTATGTTTAACTGATTTCACAGAATTTTGCCAAGACTGATTTTTTAAGGTTAATTTTGAGTGACCATATCTTGGATGGATCTTACTGCAACTGTAGATGAAATATTAATGCTCTAACACGATGTATACATTGTCAAGTTTCTTTTGGACCCCATCGTATACCAGCATTAGATAGCATGTTACCTTACTTTTCCCAAGGCAGGGGTGAAATCGTCAGACGTTGTGCTGGGAGACGACACGGTATCTGCCAGAACAAGTCCTGGCACTGGGCTTTTAAACCTGTGGAGCTTGTGCGGCTTCCGGTGTAGCATCTCTCTCTCTCTCTCTCTCT